TCTGCTGAAGGTGTTCACAGAGGATTAGATTCCCAACAGCACAATGAGGAAGTCGATCTGAGCAATTTCATTAGTTATCCTAAAGTGAAAGAAGGAGCATTCCAGTTAGTCTGTTACCACTCTCACTCTCAAACTTCATTAAAATATAAAAAGAAGACTAGCTTTAGTCAATATTTTGTCGATCACATAATTGGATAATATTTCAACAGTAGGAGTCTTTCAATGTTCTAATCGAAGAGGATAGAAACAGAATAATATTCCAAATTATTTCTAAACATATTTAATGTAGTATTTTTATTTATGGGAGGGAACTTCTAGCTGTTTCTATAAAAGCACTGCATACATGGTTAAAATGTTTACTGTGTTCCTTGACATTTTAAATCAAATGTGCAGCAACTGAATGTTTATGAGATGCAATTAATCAACAGTGAATGTTCTTACATTTATGGATGGATTAAACACTGTAAGATCTAATTAGCTTATTCTTAAACAACACTAAATTATAAATAACCGTCACGTTTCTTAATTTACCTCTCCTGCAATTTTCACTCTAGTTTCAGAAAAAAATTGAACATTATTAAGTGTTAGTTAAAATCAGGATAAACACAACAGAATGTTACACAGGGAGCAGAAAATTTAAATACGTTTACCAAGTGTAAACTTATGCAAACTTATGCAAACTTATTTCAACAAAACCACGTATATGTATGTCTTCAGCTTTTGATAGCTTTTCCTCTGTGTGGGAAACAAATGAGGGAAACAAATGAGGAAAAGGGATATAGGCCTTCATGTTGAAGACAACAAGCACAAAGTAGCTTTCAAATGTTTTTCTCTCTGTTTTCATATTTAAAAGGTCAAAATTGTAGAAAATATTAGAAACAAATCTCTTTAGACATGCCATCTCTCCAGACATATTATTTCACTAGTAGTTGAAAAGGTTGAGAGGACAAGAATGTGAGTTAGCCTCAATCCATGAGAAACTATTTGATGAAGTGTGATTTCTTCCCCTGGCAGAGATAACTATTCTGTAGTCACTGAGATGTTTGCCCTTGTTTAAAATTCTCTAACACTACATGTTAGAAAAAGGACCAATACAACATATTATAACAATAAGATCTAAAGGGAAAAAACACTGTTCATTTCCTGCACTTTGCTTTCTCACTTTTCAATAACACCAAGATTCACAAGAGAAGGGAAAATACTGTGCTTTGAAAATAACTGCAAAAGGTAGGAAAAGTATTCATTTGGTACCTTAATCTTGATTTAAGTGGAAAAGGTTAAGGGATCTTGACTAGTTTGTCCAGTCGCAGTTTATCACAATTTTCAGTTGTCCTTTAAAGAAAAATTTTACTGATACCTTTTCCCCCTCATCTGATGTTTCTGTTGTTTGTGGAAGCTATTATCAAATGTAAAGCAACCATCTAATGAGATAACAATGTTATAAGCTTCTGTTATCTTCAAATGTGGTGTGATATGTGATTCACAAATATGCAGCTGGTCTCAGATCCTTTTGGTAGATACTGTGCTCCTCTGAAAGACAGGTAAGCAACTACATGCTTGATTTTCAGAAGTTCTGACACTTGCCCTTCTCAGGGACTTAAAACCAGGAAAAGTAGGTAAAACAAAACCACAGTAGAGGAGGGGAGGGGAAATAACCTTGTGAATGAAATAATAAATGAGCAGGAGAAATAATAAGAAGAGGGACCTATGTCCTTACATTCTGTCTGCTAGAGTCAGTTTCCACAGTCAAATTAGCATAAAGAAAATGGAGGACTCAGCTGAAATCTGGAAAGCTCATTGGAAACTGATTAGATCTCAAGAAACAGTTCACTTAAACTCTTTTACACTTTAAAGTTCACAGATAAGGGAGCCAGCTTCTACAGATAACAAGGGCCGAATCCAGTGATGGATGATTCCAATTTGCACTTGGACAATTCTCCACTCCCTGCCATGAAATATTTACAAAACCACTGATTTTCCTAGCTAAAGACAGAAAAATTTAGTATAGCTACAGATAACATTATCAGAGGGATATTTTCATATTATAACATTATAACGTTCCATATATATATGGAAACAGTGATAAGAAATACATCACAATTTCTTTAAAAAAAGGTTAGCAACTGCAGCAAAATTTCTTTTATTATCCTATGGAAGCAAAGAACATATGAGATTTTAGAAGCACAGTAAGAGACTTCTGACAAAGCAGAGATTGTCTTTACCATGTGTCCATTAGCAGTCACCCTCCCATATCTTTTTTTCTGACTTCATTTCCCATCCTCCACAAAGTTAAGATTAAAAATAGAGAATATATAAAATGACAACATGGCAAACTCTGTCAGCATATAGTCTGTCAAAGAAAAGAGATTCTCAGGACACCTAGGAACAGATGGTTCAAAGTCAACGGAAGCAGAATCTACATTCCTACACACTGGAAAACACTTATATTCATACGCAAAACAAGCTACATAACTAAAAAAGCTGTGACTGCCCACTGTCACTACCAAGGTAAAGGGACAAAGTAAAATAATATAGTTACTCCTTGCCATCTATCAAAAAAATTGATCTTACATCTATTATCTATTGATTTTGACTGCACTTGAAATCACTGAATAATCTAAAATTCAAAAACTACATTATTAGCTGTCTGATATTTCCCTCTATGTTATTTTATTCCTTTAATGATGCTTAATGAGCCTAAATCCACCTGATTTTTCCCTTCTCAACTGAAGGATTAAATTTGCCTAACTTAAGGAAAACTGCAAATCCCCAGCCTACTGCAGCCATCTTCTTTCTTGAACAATACTTATTGTTACACAGAAAACTCGTGTAACTCCTTAGTATTAGAATCAGAACACATAGGTATTATCAATGGAAGTATAGTCACATTCCAGTCTAACAACTATCAGCATGTGATCCATAGCTGGTAGTACTGCTGTTCTACTAGGAACCATTCTTCTGCTCTCTCCTCCTGAGAAAAACTCCAAAACCACACTGTCATCTCTTCTAATGACCCTCTGGCACCCTACTTTAGTTTTAACATACATAATTCCCATGTACATTTTCACATTCTATTCTGCAATGAAAAACAACATGTAGAAATTGGGAACTTCTATTGTACGGTGATTGTTTACTCTATTGCCCTTGCTTACATGATGTGAAAACAATTTAAAATTATTTATTACCTCTGGCCATACCAAGACAAGTCTGACTCTGTGCATAAATGGAATACTTCACATTCAGTTTTGTGAATCCTTTCCTAAACATCAAGCTGACTTTTTCTGGATTGTTTGCAGCAACTTTAAGGAGGGACAAAAGCAATACTTATAGATATTCTGGTTGTAGTGAAGGAAAGAGGGGCCCATCTACCAGTATGTATCCTCTGGATACAAGGAAAGAAGGTGGTATTATTCTGATGAATATGCATGAAACATCAGGAAATACCTTGGAGGGAAAATGCTGTCCATAGATGGATAACTTAGCATCTACTCACAAAGGGTTCACCATGGAGTAAGGCAATTTGCACAAAATATTTTCACATACTCTATTCACAGTGAAGAATTTAGTTATGCTGCTCCACATTACATTGTGCAAAAGTGCACTTAGGGCAAGGCTGGTAGACGTGCAAGAGTGTTTTGCTGCAAAAAAATCATATTCTTTCGTGCTACAAGAGTTGATTTTGGGGGACATTACAACTAAAACAAGTACAATTCCTTTATGCTAACTGAATGCACTCCTATAATAGGTAAATATTTAGTTGAACCACTAGGTAGGTATGTACAGTAGCAGAATGTGGCAATGAGAGCTTTAGCAAAATGCCGAAAATATAGGTCAATTTACCTACAAAATTATTGCAGCATGCAATCTTGTTGCAAAGGACTCTATCACAGTTCAAAGAACTGTTTTTCTTTTTCTCTGTTGAGCATTGGTATTCATTAGAAAACTGGGCTTAGCTGCTTGTTCATCCATGGCCTATTAACATAAACTGCAGTAAGTTCTCTTGCTTCTCTGTTAGTCAGAATCTCCTTTGTAAAATGAGAGTAGCTTTGATTTGTTTCCAGAGTTTTGAAGAAGCAACTATTATCAAGAATGTTTATGTTTTGATATCATAAAAGAACCTGTATTAGCCAGGTATTTCATGTGACACTGTAATAAAGTCTGCAACTAAATAGAAAAAGCTGCCTAGAGTCTTTTTTTATAAGAAATTAATGATACACAAGTTCTCCAATTTACGACAGTTATCTTCAATACATGAAAGATTCTGTTACAGTTCATGTATAAGCTAACACTGCAGAAAGAAACTTAACTTTGTCCTCAAATTCTCTACATTGCTGAGAAGTCCTGACCTGTTCAGTTTTACTGGTCTTCAAGTTGTCATGAAGCTGATTTCATTACATACTATTCTTTGATACCATTATATTCATTATAATGAATAATTTTCCAAAATTTTATTTTGATAATTTTATGGTTATAATTTTGTATTGCAACAGGAAAGAGAATGGTTAATAATGAACATCACAGACATTATAGGGGGCATTGGGACTAGATGATCTTCAAGGTTCATTCCAACCCCTAAAAATTCTCTAATTCTATAATTCATTACTTTATGTTGGGGATTGTTTTCTTCTTTGACATGTTAGTAGCAATGGAGTGAGGGACGAACCTCACCCATTTGTGAGTCTATTTAAAAGTTAATGCTTATCATTTTAAATGGCCTTCCCATGTATCATTAACAATGTAAAACATGCTGTACATGCCACAGACATCAATTTATTTGAGAGCCAGGTCACAGAATCTCAGGGAGACTTGAGCTAAGGATGATACAGGACTGTAGAAGCCAGAGACCCACATCACAGGCATACAGCTTGGAGCTTCACCTACCACGTTATTTTAAAAGCTAAAACAGATGGGAAAATTTGCAACAGTTACTAGAAATATTATTATAATATTCTCCATCAATTGAAAACAAACAAACAAACAACAAATCACAAAACCAATAAAAACTCCCACCAAAAATGAATGAACAATAATAAAATCACAAGTGTATATCTAGATTCCAGTCACCTTCTTACTTTCTTCTATTTTCTACAAATGAATAAACATTCATCAAAATAACATTAATATCAAATTGTGCAGAAGATACTATTTGGATTATTCCTTCCATTATGAATACAAATTTTATAAGCAAAAAGTTCATCAACACTGTTGAGCTTCAGTTTAAAGCTGAATAATGACACAGTGAGGGTGTGGCAATCCATAGCAGCCTTGGCCACAGTGAGCATGAAGAATTGACATGAGGATCCCAAGGGGAAAGAAGGAATAGAGTAGGAGAGCCTAGACCTCAGGCATCAAGGCAACAGCCTGAGGCTTGTTCAGGGAGCAGGCAGGTGGAATCATACAGGAACAGCTCTGACAAGCAAAGAGGAAACCTGGAAACTCTTGAGTGCAGAAGTCTGCAGAAGTCTCCAAAAGTTCCAAAATAGCCAGTCAAACCTCGGGAAAATATATCCAATCTGTTATTATATTAAGTCTGAATGTACTGCTTTAAATTTATGAATGTTGACTCCTTTTTCCTGGCAAAGCACTGCAGTAAAGAGCTTGGATTGTTTCTTTCCATATGTTTCTCCGAAGCCATCTCTTCTCCAAGTTAAACAGTGTACCAGATCTAATGTTCCTCCAGTTCATTCACATTTTTCTTCTTTTCAGGTGCCTGAAACCAGATACGATATTACAGAAACACTCTAAAAAGTACCAAAAAGCTCACTAAAACTTCCTCCAATGTACTATCTGTGTTTCTGTCAATACAGCTCAGATGTTAAGGTATTGTGTTTTCGGTTTTGTTGATGTTTCAAGTGAATTATTGGCTCACAAAGTATCACTGAAATAATGCACGCCATCTTTCAGGGAATGTTTATTATGATTGCTAGCAATAGCAGCCCCAGAGGAGTGTAACACTATCAAAAGACTATTAGAATTCAAAATTATCTGAAGCAGTATGAAAAATTAAATTGAATGGATTTTTTTTTTAGATGAAAATGAGATTTTTGTCACATGCTAGAAGTAGTATCAATCACAGGAACAAAAAATATAGATCCTTCAGGGACACTGAGACCTATGAATCAGCAGGGGATAGTGTCTCCTAATTAAAATTACCTCTTATATTGTCATAAACAGGAGGCAGCTACATCCTCCTGAGTTAAAGTTAACAAAACCACTTTCAGCACTGAAAAACAACATAAGGATATCAGGGTGGGGGTATTGCAAATGGAACTGAGGGAAAACCTATTACACTTAAACAAAACAGTCAAGTTTACACATATAGAGCAAGGAAAAGAAAAAGAATGCAGTCATTCCAGACAAAAAAAAAAAAAAAAAAAAAAAAAAAAGAACACAGGCATTCCAGGGGGTCACCATTTCAGCTAACACTGAAAAAATGTAAGTATCACATAGGATATATATCAGGAGCAGGGATACCAGATGTTGAAAATTCCAGTATTCACAGCACTAGTCAGAACCCAGCTGAATTACACTCGAGGTGAGAGCAACATAACTAAAGAAGAGTCAGCAGTATCAAATATCAAGAACAGTAATAACAACAAAAAATGTCAATTTCTATCTAGCTATTAGAAAAAAGAAAAATAATAATGAGACTGGAATAATTTGGCTGGAGAGGTTCTGGAATTTCTGCTGTCAGTGAGAAGGACCAAGAAACATCTGTTAAAAACAAAGACTGATGAAGCAGAAAAAAAAACCCAAAACAAACACAGAATATAAAAAAAAGAAAACAAAAAAACAAATGAGGTTTTGAACACATGAATTCCTTTCATCTCTCTCCTTCTTATGAAAGGAATAAAAGATACACTAGTTCATTTCTTGAACAAGAAAAGTCTGCATTGCCACTGTACCTACATTCCAACTCATACCTCCTTGATCCAGACTTGACTTTCTGGTTTGAACTTCAGTCTGCCTCATCACTCTGGACTTGCTGGGTGCTTGCTTGAAACAGATTTATTACGCTTTAGCCTCCTCTCCATAAAACTTCTGCTGTATGTCTTTTCCACATATAACTTAAGTCTCTCAAGGAGCTCTATCACCATTTGTCTCACAAAATAACTATGTAAAAGCAAAGACTGCCACAGACAGTTAATATTCAGTTTCTAGATCAATTTCTATTTTTTGTTTCTCTGAGAATTTAGAAGACATAAGAACCTTGGACTTTCTACATTTAATAGCAGACATCTATCTACCCAGTAATTTTAGTATTTACCCACACAGGAATTTAGGAACAGGTGAACAGAGTGTGAATTTGTTTGCTATTGCTCCCAAGAACCCACTGTATACTCTTTCAATGTGCAAAGATGATGCCTACCTCATGCTTATACAAATATACCTCCCAGCATGCGATTCACAGACTACTGTTTTTACCTTTCTATGAAAGTGTGCAATCTGCTTGCGCCCTTTGGGCTCCAATGTTTCCTGTAATTAAACTAGCTCGTTCCAAACTGCATTGAGCATCCTTATATTACATCGCATCACAGTCTGAGTTATTAATATGGTCTGAGAGGGTTCAATTATCTATGAAATGTTTGTGCACATTTTTTGCCACTAAAAAATAGTTTGTTAAGAGCACACAGGGAATTGGTGCATGATAGGTAGAACACAGAATATGTACACGATCAATGCAGGGCCCCAAGTCTACCCCGACTTCCTACTCTAGGTAAGTTCTTAGTAAGGATAATAACATTGGGGTTTCCGCTGGTCATTGAGCATACTTACATCCTCCCTGATGATTTAGTTGCCTAAAGCAGTTCCATTAGCCTCTGAATAAAACCAAATTTACTGAAGTTTAACCCATTCCAACCCATGGATTTTTTTTCCTGACATGAGCTATATTATTAGACCAAGTATTTGAATCCTACCCTTTGAATTTTCTTTAAAAGTCTAACTCTAAAAGGGGACAACATTACCACACAGCCCATTAAACACTTATACTTGAGGACCCAAATTAACTCTTATAGTACTGTGCTTAACAGTCTTAAGTAGTCTTAAAATTAGTATGACTGATCTTTTAATAATTCATTATGCACTTTGCCTAATTTTTATGTGACTGTGTTTGTTTTATTCACATAGTTCTGAAGATCAGATATTTATTTAGGCTCATTAAGAGAGATCAAACAAAATAACTGTTTTATTGGACTGACAGTAACTTATTAAAAAAACTTGCAGAATTAAATGAAGAAAAATCTCTTGGTGAAAAGAGAATTTTAATTCATCTTCTCAGGAATCTCTCATAATAGCCTATATTATATTGATAGAAATAGCAAAAGAATAAATGCTCATCATACAGATATATATTTGTATGTAGCAATGAGATCAGATTAATTTCTGGTCAAAGCATCAACTACACTGGTTTGTGCAATAGAACAGCTCCTAGTTCTCTCATTTTAACATTAAATGAAAAAGTTGTTCAGCATATGCAAACTCTATCCTTTATTATCTGAAGAAATTTCAGAGCCATTTGACCTACTGAAGTGTAAAGTAAATAATTTAATATATTGCTACTATATAAATACATTTTTTGACTTGTAAGAGCTAAAGTCCTAAAAAACAAAAAGATATTTTCCCTTGTCAAACATTATGCATTAAACAAACTATATGAAATGTTTCCAGAACCAAAATTATTTTTATTGCACTAAGACACAAAGTTTTATAGCCATAAGTTATTGAATTCAATATAGTTCTCAAACTGATATGAGAAAGAGTTACCATCCTTGTACAGGTCAGGAATTGTCCTTCTGTAGTTACAGAAGTTCAAACTCAATGAAAATACCTTTTGATGTCTAGAGCTATAAATCAATGATTAAGTTTTCCAGCTAATCTAAGTGTCTAATTCTGAATTTTTTGCCTTTCACTGTAGCCACAATGTATATTACTTTAAAAATTCTTCATCTGCTATTGGGGATCTAAGCAGTTGATGTTAGGTTCCAGACCTTCATATTCTGCTCTGAATTTGTGGGGGATTTATTATTTTTTAAATTTATTTTAAGAGTTCTTAATAACACTTTTATATGAATACTGTTTCATACTTCAGCACTAAATCTCAAGACAGAGTCAGAAATTTAAGCAGTCTTTAAACATGCAAAGTACATTTTCAAAGTGTTTTCTGAGAGTTCATCTATATACTTGGTAAAAGTTGCTAAGCTGTTGAATATTACAGAGTAACTCTCTGAAAAAGCTTTGTACAAATCATTTTAGCAACTGTGACACATGTAAAACTTTGGAAGCACGGAAACTTCAAAGACTGTTATATTGTGATAGGCACCACCGACATAAGGAACGTGTAATTCAGGAAGACCTGTGTCAGTAGGAGAAGAATTATGCACTTTTGAAAACTCGACTCACTCCATGTAAATAACACAAGCAACCTTGAGAAAATGCATTGGGCTATGTACATGCTAAGTTGACACCCTTGATTGTTTTGCCTTAAGAAGTGAAGCAAATAAAAGTTTAAACAAAGGACTAAAGAAACTGCCTTGAGGGACAGATTGATAGAACTGCTGATTCTTTGTCTAGATCTGCAAATTCTTTGTGCGGTTGATGTATAACGCTCTAGTAGCTATGAGGGGTGGAAGATGAGTATTATTTTACTACACATGCTTTTTAATGTGCTTTTCAATTTCCTGCACCATCATACAGTCATTGTGTAGCCTGACTTGTTCACTTTGTGTCTAATACAACCAGTTCTTTAAATTTAACAAAAATAGTGTGACAAGTATAGCACTAAGGACAAAGCTGGGAGGGTTGAGGAAAATGAACTTCACAGTTGTCATTGGCTCAAATTCCTAGCTGGAGGCCTGAGTAAGATACCTTGGAGAATGTTTATTCTCATATTGTCACATAGTCTCCTCCTCTTCTCTAAAATAAAGATCTTGGCTGGATATTTATTATAACAATAATTCTGATTTAATATGTCACTACATTGTGGTTAAGTCCTAGCATAATATGATAAAATTATATTATCTGATTTGTGGCCAGGTAAATATTTTGACCAGCTTGGGTAAGAAACACAACTGGGGTTCTAAAGTCACTGCTGTAGTATAAAGTTTTGTTTTAGTATAAAACAGGAGATATAAAGGTTTAAAGCAGCTCATTCTCACTCTTGCTGTTTCCATGTTTGTCCATGGTGTCTAGTTCTAGGAGGAAGCAATGAGGCAAAGAGACGCACAGCAGTGAATGAGCATTAATTCTGTCCTCAGGACTAGATACTCCTCTATTCATCACTTTTTTTTTCAATGCATCCACCAGTCAGTGTCCTAGGTGTGGTGAATTTTCTTAGATACTTGACACTTTTACCTTATTGACAGAGAGTTTTGTGCCAAGCTCTTGGTTGCAAGATACAGTCTGGGATTGTGGGACAGTAAAGTTTAGTGCAATAAGCATCAACTCTATTTTACAAGATACAAATTGTTAAATTAAACACTGCCAGGAAATTTGCCGGAGGACTAACACAATCTTTTTCTTTTGCTTATTTTTCCTAAACCATTTCTGGTTGTGCCTCAAGAGCTGTCATAGATAGAGACCATTCCCAACAGATCGCTTAACAACATGGATGACAGCCATTCTATGCCAGATGACACCAGCATTGGATAATAATCCTTAGCACGGTCAGTTTAGCATTATAGACGTGGAGACAGTGATTTGAGCCCTAGC